TTAAGAACATGCATGAAATGCGCTAGATTTCGTAAAAAAAAAAAGAATCTCCTTTTCAATTAATGGGAAATCTACCTTTTGCAAGGATCAACAGATCAAGGCCGTTTTTGGTAATTGGAATAGATTTTGCAGGACCTTTTCTGATTAAACGGAACATGAGACGTACTACTTCAACCATGAATGCTTACGTTGCCTTGTTCATATGTTTCAGCACCCGGGCCATTCATCTAGAATTAATCAGTAGTCTGACCACAGATGCTCTCATATCTACAATAAGAAGGTTCATTGCTCGAAGAGGTAAACCAGCAACAATTCATAGTGACAACGCCACTAATTTTGTTGGTGCGCATAAGATTATTGGGAAACTATGTCACAATGCCAGTAAAGTTCTTACGAATTCATAGGGAATTCAGTGGAAATTTATTCCACCATCAGCTCCACATTTTGGTGGACTTTGGGAAGCCGGAGTTAAGTCCATGAAATATCATCTTAGAAGAACAATGGGCAGTGCTTTGCTAAATTTTGAAGAACTAACAACATTGTTAGCACAAATTGAAGCTTGCCTGAATTGCGCGACCTCTTTGTCCTCTTTCTGAGGACCCTGAAGATCTACAGGCATTGACTCCTGGTCACTTCTTAATAGGTGGTTCTTTAACAGCGCTTCTCGATGAAGATGACATCATAGCAATGAGTTTGCCAAATAGATGGCAATTAATTCAAAAATCAATGAATCATTTTTGGACAAGATGGTCCCAGGAATATGTGTCACAACTTCAACAAAGATCCAAATGGTGTAAGCCCCAACCCAACATTAAGGAAGGATCCCTGGTGTTGATAAAGAATGAACAACAACCTCCACTAGCATGGAAGATTGGAAGAATTTCAAAGGTGTTTCCAGGAGATGACGCTAGAATCAGAGTGGTAGAAGTCAAGACTGCTAATGGGACTTACAGAAGACCTATTGTAAAATTATGTTTGTTACCTATATAATGTTTCTTGATGGTCCCCCATCAAGTTGGTGGCGGGAGAATGTATAATTTAGTTAGAATATTTATGTTTATATAAAGGTTTAATATAATTTTTCTATGATTGTGTAAATATTCATTGAATTTATCATCATCACCTTGGTTGTTTACAAAATGATATATGAAAAATAACGTAATGTAATTGAACGAAATTGTTGCCCTCATGTTTACTGATCCATGTTTCAATAATCTAAGGTTTATGTTGTAAGAAAATTATACATTGAGAAGAATTATACATATGCGATGGCTCAATTTTTGTAGTAGTTTCTTCCACTCTTTCCTAAATAAGAGAAAACTTTTCTTCTTTCTAATAAAAAGCGAGAAAGCATTTAAGATAAAACAATAGAGTATAAAGAAGGTCAAAACATCAGGCTTCCAAGGATAAGTATATATTTTTTAAATTTAATTCAGATCAACAACAAGCTTTCATTAAGGACCTATGCCTTTCACAAGATTCTCCCAGGTACATATTTGTTTAGAAAAGAATAGTTAGTTATTTACAGGTTATCGTTCATTTACATATCTATTTACATATGGCTCTCTTTTCCTAATGTTTCTTCTTTTGTACAGTTCTGTAAAACTTATACAAGGCCAATGCATTGAAAATTTAATTCAGATAGCCAGATTTCATGCTCGAAAATGATTTTTATTTAATTGAGAATAGAGTAAAATAGTTTTGAATTATCCAACACAAATATTATTCATATTTGCTTATAGTAAGGCTTTGATGCAAATTGCTCTTTAGAATACGGATACATATATACATATACATTTGACAAAAACATTTATAGGAGGAGGTTTCTTTATTTTGTTGTTGAAGATGGTTTTGAAAAATCTTGATTGCTACCTTGCTTTTGGTATAATCTTAGACAAGACCTTAGAAAAGCTTTATATACAATATATACACTCATGGACAAAACTTAAGGAAGTGTAAAGTCGTTGATTCTCCAGTCGTCTGCTTTTTTATTGAAGAAGAACGAGACAGAGACAATTTTGTTCACACTTGGTTATCTCGTGTGTCGCCGAATGCCGTGGTCCATTTGGACGAGGAAGGCGAAGACTAGAACGCGGCTGATTCCACACTCTCCTGTTCAGTGATTCGCTAACCATGACGTATGCACGAAGGAACGTGTGGCCATTGGACATGCGTCGGACCTGGAGGCTGTTGTTGGGTGCTGTGTTGCCTGGAGTATAGGAGCTCTATCTATGCTTCCTTACTTCCTGTGGTGAATCTGTATAAGACTGGTGGTCTTAATAAAGCTTTGTGTGTGTGTGGGTTATCTCGTGTGTCTTCAAAAAAGGTCACTGTCCATTCATTTAAATATCCTGGATATCAATCAAACAAATGCCACAGGTTTCTGAGGATGTGTTTCTTTATCTTTATAAAATGTATTCTCGAGCTTTCGGGAATCTCTGCCCTTCTACATAAGTTTATGAAAACCTATTTTATATAGTCCTGTAGAATGGCAGAGATGCCCGAAAGCTCGAGAATACATTTAATAAAGATAAAAGACACTCATCCTGTGGCATTTGTTTGAAAGGTTACTGTGTATCAAATATATTTTAGAATTAATATCTGAATACAGATATACATGCTAAAAGGTACAATGTTCTAAGTTTTGTCTATGAGTGTATGGTATGTACACATTAGAGTTGTATTTTGACATCGAGACGACAAAAGATCTAGCGGTGTGTATTGTACCCAATGGAACTGTGCGAGTCGACACTCACCGTGATGGCAGTCACCACTGTCTCAGGAAGGGCGTCCTCCACGATGGAAGTGACATAGGAATCCTGGAAGAACTCTGGAGGATTGTCGTTGATGTCGCGCACCATGATGGTGACAGTACTGGTGCTAGCGTGATTGGCACCAGTGAGAGACTCCTTCGCTACCACCTGTCACCATCACATGTCCATCATACCAATGAACGAGTTTACAGCCATCTCGTCAAATTTACCAAGAGGATGAACTTGCGATGGTTGGGGTTCTCATAGTCCAGGGGTCCAGACTTAAGACGTATGTTGACGGATGTGGACCCAGAGGCCACTGTAGGGTCCACCTCGAACATCCCAGTGGGATCCTGTAGGTCCAGACTGAAGACAGAGTTGGAGCCCTGCGAACAGAACATCTTGTACTTCACATCATAATATTATAACGTAGAACAATTAGGAAAGACAAACTTCAGAATTACACGGCAATTTATTTAATGCAAGAACCAAATTAAAACTAAAGAGACAAAGGTCGCCTCTCCGGTCAAAATAGACGTCAAACTAGACGCCATCGAGGGGAGAGGCGACCTTTGTCTCTTTAGATGAATATCCTCCCGGAAAAATTTCCATCTATATTTTAGCCATAGATTTGGCCCAGCCACCTTGTCAGCTAAACACCTCTTTGGCAGATTGTCTAGATTCCATTATATCCCGTGTGGATCTCATAGAATAAAGTCCGCCCTAGAATGACGAGGGCTATTATCCCGAAACCATGGTCTCTAGGTGGACGCTTTTCAGTTTGTCAAAGCTGGTGTTGTGGCTTTGTCACCTACCCGAGGCCGCTAGTTTGCGGCGACGATCAATAGATGGTGTCTATTTTTGACGTCGATTTTGACGGGAGAGGCGACCTTTGTCTCTTCAGATCAATATCCTCCCGGCAAAATTTCCATCCAAATTAAAACTAATAAAATAGTAGAGATGCAATGATAAAATATTACAATGTATCAAAATACAAATATCGGAATTAAAAATATTTTCATAGAATAATATAAATGTTCGAATAAAAGGCTCAATTTGATATTTGTGGAAAAGCGATTGTTCGAAGCATATTACATATTTATAATTGCATGTAATTCTACTGTCCTCAAATCTTATATCCATAGTTTATCTAAAATACCCATTCCAAGAATCTATCATCAATATAAAAGAAAAATCGAAAAATACAATATAACAGCGGTATGGTAGATTAAACTGGCGAAACCGCTGGGAGGGTTCACCACTGATGAGCCAGGCCCTCCCATTAATTTTACCATTGCAGTAAGGGCAGTATAAATTGTTTAATTTTTAAAAGAATCATATGCATCTATAATAGTTTCGAATTTTCATAACATCTTGTACATGGCTCTCTTTTCCAGCTTCCTCACAAACTTATTTAAATTTAACACAACTATAAATGGATTTTATTCAAGAGATACAAATTCCATCCAAAGGAAAAGTTTCTTTCAAAATATATAATTTAATTGACTCAAGCTTTCGAGCTTTGGAGAGTTCTTCTACAGGAGTATGTGGTTAATTATAACGTTGTTTCATAGTGATAAAAGTCTATATAATTTTTATTTAGGCGACTCTATTGTTCGGAAACGAAACGAAAAATATAAATAAATAAAAAAGGTCAGATGTTGATATTAAAAACAAACTAAGCATATCCTGATCACTAACATGACGTTCAGTCATCTAAAAAAACGCTCATTTTAGTGGTCAGGATATGCCTAGTTTATTTTAAATGTCTATATACACTCATAGGCAAAATTTGAGAAAGTGTAAAGTCTTTGATGTTGCCAGTCATCTTTTTTTTTTTGCTTGTTTGTTTGTTTGTTTTAAAGGAGACAGAGGAAAATTTTGTGCACGCTTGGTTATCTCGTGTATCTTCAATAAAGGTCACTGTAATATATTTCAGAGTTATTGTCTGAATCCCGATATACATGCTAAAAGGTACATATTTCTTAAGTTTTGTCTCCATAAGTATATTAAAAAAAAAGAAACAGATAATATAACAAAGATAATGTACTATCGAATATTGAATTACCCATTTTTAAATTACAATTATAGAATTGTAAAACGACATTTGAAAACCATCCCGCATGTGTTTCTTTTCAACGATAAATCAAAATTTATTTCAAGGAGAAATAACGATTATTTCTAACCTTTTGGATGAGGTATGGAAGGGTGAATTGTGAAGAGTAATGATAAACGGAAAAATAAAAGTGTCCAGGGATGGGAATCGAACCCACAGTGTTCCGCTTACCGGGCAGATGCCATGTCCACTAAGCCTTTCATACCTCATCCAAAAAGGTTAGAAATAATCGTTATTTCTCATTGAAATAAATTTTGATTTATCGTTGAAAAGAGAAACACATGCGGGATGGTTTTCAAATGTCGCTTTACAATCATAAGCCGCATTATATTGTATTATAAATTATAGAATTGTTCACGAACCCTATGTATATGAAACTTTATAAAGGATTTTCCATGAAGTCAATTAAAATACAACACATGTGTCTCAATCGTAATTTTATCAAATCTTATTAGACAAGTTATAACATCGATATATTGGTAAAATAAAACAATGAGAACATTTACCTGGATCAGGTGGTAAAACTACGAAAGGTTAAAAAAACACAGCTGATATTATGTAAATTTTATAATGTACATATAACTTTGCCATAACATAGTTAAGTTTCATTTTGTATTAATTTTGCTGTAGAAGGGCGTTATCCCGAAAGCTCGAAAAACGTTTAATTAAAAATATATTCATCCTTAGAAGTTTATCATATAAAATTGATAGCAAAGGATTATATCCTAAATTTAAAACTAAGAAAGAAAAACTCCTGATCATTCAACTCAACGATACAGAATGCTCACGCCATCTATCGGAAAAGATATGAACTAAACGTCGATTTATTTTAATACAAGGTATTGGTTATTCACTTTTTCCTAATGACAGAAAGGTTTCTTTTATCAATTTAATTTTTATTCCCAATATTCTTGAATTTGCGTTTAATTTTTATTTTTCCGATAGATGACGTAAACCATCAACAAGGTTATTTGCAAATACACACATGATAAGTATTTTATTCCATTATTGATTATATTGGTGTCAGCCTTTGTGATTCAAAATTAAAAAAAAAAAGCAGTTGTAGGATTCATTATCAAAGATTTGCGGATTTTGAATAATTACAAAAAAAGTCATAAAACGCCCCAAATCTTTTTATTTACTTGATTAAAGAAGCTTTCGGGCAAGTCCTTCTTCAGCTAACTAAAATAATAGTTTGCTGAGTAAGGGCTTGACCGAAAGCTTCTTTAATAAAGTAAATAAAAATATTTGGGGCATCTTATGACTTTTTTGTGACAGTTGTTCGAGTTTGAGGATAATGGTGGTTAAAAGGTTGCTCTGAACTAGTTAATATATATATATATATATAACAATAAATAGTTATTTAATTTTATAGTCCAGTTTTGTATTATTATCAGTTTGCTCCTTAAGTTTTTAAAATTAGAATCACTGTTATAATTTTGTTATATAGTTTCTACACTATATATATATATATATATATATATATATATATATATATATATATATATATATATATATATATATATATATAGAAGAGAAGAGGAGGGCTGTCTCTGGTAGTAATGTATTTTTGGTCGTTGAGGTACAGCTTGCACCTCGCTAACGAGTGCCAACAGCCCGAAACGCATATGTGGTTAGCTTTTCTTGATTAATCAAGAATGGGTATTCAGCTAATTCTGGAATATTTAAAAAATCAACGAATAGTTAATATTTATTCCGATAGATGGCGTAAGCCAACAGAAACTTTAGTTGCCCGATAAGGCGATGCTCTTTTTTTAGTAATGTATTTGTCTCACCAGGTCGGGATCGGAGACAAACATGTCTAGATCAGGGAGGGGCGTGCCATCAGGAAGTCCCTCGTCAATGGTGACAGAGTAGGTGTCGCGGTTGAATGTGGGCGGCTCATCGTTGACATCCTTCACGGTGACAGTGAGGGCGGTCACGGCGGTGGTGCGTGGTGTCTCGATGGGTACACCGTTGACAACTTCGACAGCCTGGACACCACGTGTTGTCTCATCACTGTCCTGACAACGTAATACGGTCGAGCTTACCTTCACCATGGCCGTGATTGTACCGTCAGTTGCCAGGTACTTCTCTCTATCCAGCCGCCGCACCAAGGTCAACTTCCCTGAGTCCTGGTGGAGGAAGAAGGAATTGTCGGGATCTGTCACCAACCTCATTGATGTGACAGGAACAAATGATCTTATTGAATTTTTTAAAAATATCTTTCAGTTTTATGTCTTTTTAGCGGGTTTATTTATGCATATGATTGTGTACAATATAAAATTTAGGAATTCTAGCAAATAAAAAAAAAAAATTAGCAATTTAAATATAAAATTAAGCTTTTTTTTTCTTTTTGTTGTCGTTTATCTATTACAAGAACAATTTGTAATATATATACTCATGGACAAAACTTAAAGAAGTATCTTTTAGAATGTATATCAGGAGATTCAGACAATAACTGACAATAGTGACCTTTATTGAAGACACACGAGTTAACCAGGTGTGGGAAAATTGACTCTGTCTCCTTCAAAAAAAAAGATAACGGTGATATCAAAGACTTCCCTCTTTCTTAGGTTTTGTTCATTAGTGTATATATGAAAATTTTCTCGAATAATATTTTTATATATAATTTTTAAATCATTATTTTATGGTTCGTTTTTTAACTTTTGCACACACACTCAGTGGTGTATGTTCATTGACTTGCGAAATTGGAGTAATGATAAGTACAACATACATGTTCCTAGTACACATGGCATCCATGTTTATTCAACTAGAATTAATTTATGATGGAAATTATAAAGTTACAGAACTCAACACATTGGACTGGACTTATTCAAGAAATGTAGAGCTTTTGAAGATTTCATCGTTTGAAAAACTGACTTAAAGTAGGTTTCAAGCTATGTCTTAATTGAGGAAAGTTCTGATTCACACCACTTACTACTAATAGTTTATTTCGATATTTTCTGAATAAGTCATTAAGACCTGTTTTATTCACTTTAAATTCACTTTATAAAACGTTTGCGAATTCTGATGTCTAAAACCAATTCAAATGACCATTAATTACAAACACGCTTTTCTTCTTGTTGCTTTTTCAAACATTTATACCATCTGTTTTCCTTTTTATTTGAATAGTTAAAACTTAAATACAGAGATTGGGATTATTATAACTATTAATAACGAGAAAGACTGCCTCTTTTTGCTTTTTGTTCTTCTTAAGTTTTTAACATTCCTCCTTTAGTCGTGTTGGGTCCTCAGCAAGTTTGCAACAGAAAAGGTAGAAATGGATGACTTACTAGTAACGAGGAAGTAGGCAATCTGGTTAGGATCCTGGTCATCTCCGTCCACAGCTTTCACCGTCATGATGGTCGTACCCTGAAACATATTTACATATAGTACAGGAAAACACAAGTGTTCGTACTTCATGCGAGGTGCGGCTATAAAACAACGTAACTAATGTCATAAGAAATTTTATTCTATAATTTTAAAATAGAGCAATCCATAAATAAATCTTTGATTAAAACTGATGAGCCAAGCCCTCCCAATATATTTTTTTCATCTCAGTAAGGACAGTAGAAGTTTGTATTGTGTATAAAAGAAACATTCGTGCTTTTAAATCCTTTCATTTTATATGTATAGATGGCGCGTTATTGATTTGTGTTAAAAAGGCATTTATTGGATCAAAATATCATTTATTTTACCAATATTTCAGTTGGCTGAATGCCAACCTTTATCAAGGTGTTATAACATATTTAATTTGTGTCAACAACAAACTCCTATTCTATAATTATAACTATTTTGAAAAAATAAATGTAATGCCTTGACAAAGTATGGCATTCAGTCAACCGAAATGTTGACAAATAAATACTTTTATTCAATCCAATATGTCTTTTAATTACTTAAAGATTTATAACTATATAGGTATTATCCCCTTCAACACATGTACTACCTATGCTTAAATATACACTTTTATCCCTATAAGACTCCCCGAGAATTTGCTATCTTCTTCTTCTTTCATATCTCCACTCAATCATATTAGGGTATCAAGTTGTGACCCTTGATGGTGTCTGTTTGACAACCATCATGACTAGGTGAAGTAGAATGCGTCTGCCTTTGTCATTAAGACTGGGAGCACTACTCAGTGGCAGGCCAACTTAGCTCCGAAAGAAATGGCCGCCTCTGACATGAGGAACAGACGCCATGTGCAGCCGCTCCTAACATGGAGTACAAACGCTGCTCATCCTGTATCCCTGGATTAGGAGTCCTTACAGGGTACTATCAGCCGGGCCAGCTGAGCCCAGGTTTTTTAGTGAGCTTGTTACTGCTCCCCCTCCTCCTTTTTCATCCAGGCTTGGGACCGGCAAATTTTTTCAATATAGTACTGAAAGTCTCCTTCTTGGAGCTTCTTTGACAGCTTCAACGGTCTGAAATGTTTCCTTTCATACTCGTACATTTAACAGAGGTGAAGCGTTACTAAAGTCCAAACAGATTACAGTTTTTATTTGACGCGTTGTTGTGAAAATCTTCTCGATTAGATGACAACAAAAATATCACCAAGGGAATGTTGTGATGACATTGGTTCACCTTGCTGGGAGTGTCATCCTTGCGCAGGGGCCATGCTAATATTCTCTGTATCGTTCCAATTTTATTATATGTACCGCCGAACAAGCGTTTCCTTGCTGGGAGTGTTCACTACTGATGAGCCAAGCCCTCCTAATATATTTTTCATGGCAGTAAGGACAATAGAAAAAAATAAAATGGTCAGATGTTGATATTAAAAATAAAAAAGACATATCCTGACCAGGAGCACATGTGCTTTTCAGAAGGCAGAGCGCCATCTAGTGGAACAGAAATCAACTATTCATTGATTTAACCTGTTCCCTGAAATTTGGCCAGTCCAATTTCTTGATAAATCAAGAAAAGCCATCCACGAGCGCTGTTGGCGCTCGTCAGCGTGGAGTAGGCTGTACCACTGCGACCAAATAGATCCCAGTGGCGTTCGTGGATGGCTTTTCTTGATCTATCAAGAAATTGGATTGGCCAAATGTCAGGGAACAGGTTAAATCAATGAATAGTTGGTTTGTGTTCCACCAGATGGCGCTCTGCCTTCTGAAAAGCACATGTGCTCCTGGTCAGGATATGTCTTTTTTATTTGTACATATATATATATGGTACGTTATCGCCCTATAAATGGATCTCCAGCAG